TTTGCCTACAAAGGAGGCCTAACTCAGAGAGATTACCTCAGCACCACGCATTAAAAAACAACTCATAGGGCATTTCTTATCAATAGTGAGTGGCTCACAGTATCACACGTTGCACACCAACTCTGATTTGTGACAGGTTCCTGTCTTTTACACCAATTATCTAGTTTGCAGTAAATAGGACATTAACAGGTATGCCTCTTTTAAAACAAAGCTTAGATTTTAAAAATAAAGTGAGCAGTAATTTGTTTTATTTTTCTATAGAAAACATTTAGAGAAGTTACTTAGTACCCAATGAGCAATGATAGTATTAAATAGTATTTGCAAAGTCTTCTTTCTACCACCCAAATCCATTTTTGGTGTGTGCTCTTTGGGGGACAGATAATTAGCACTAATTGTTGTCTTTGTTTCTTGTTTTGGAGACAGATAATTGAAAGTAATTGTTATTTTCTTTCCCTTCACTTTTTCCACCCAATCAGTAAGTCCAAATGATTCTACTTTCCACCTCTCTTCACTTCTCTCCATCACCACTATCATTGTTCCAGTTTAAGCCACAACTTGTCAGAACTTATTTTAATAGTCTCCAAACTGATTCTTCACTTAACCAAATAATCTTTACTTTAGAGGAGTATATAATAAGAATGACAAAATAATACTAATAATGAGTACCACTCATTGACTGCATATTACATACTGTGATTCTTAGAACAATCCTACAAAGTGGTTATAATAACTGCTCCCCATTTAACAGGGAGAAAACAGAATCCTAGAAAGGTTAAGCAGCTGGTCTAAAACCACTAGGCTAGAGGTAGATCCCAGATATGAACTCTCTGTCTCCAAAGCTTGTGCTCTTAACCACCATGCATGCTTTCTGCCATATTTGCCAAATTTTTCCTTAAATTGTAATGCTCCCCTGCAGTATTAAACTATGTTGTGTTACCCAGGATAATGCTGGGCACATAAGCAATCCAGAAGGTGTTTTTTAATTGATAGACTCGGGAACCTCTATGTAGAGGGCAGGAAGCTAAAGTATTATATTACTTTATTTGTCCCATATCATTATGAAATGAGATTTTTTTTTTAGGTAAAGTGGTTTTCTATTTAACTAAAATGAAACCATTTAAAGATTCCTTTAAATATTGATAAAATCTTTCTGAAATGCATTCCATTCTTTATTGCTTTCTAGTATGACGATTTTAATTTAATATTATCCCAATGACAAAGAACTAGTGTTATGTACAACAAATGTTGAAAATGCCACTTCTTTAGTATTTCCTTCTGGGCTATGGTTTTAATTACCATCTATATGCCAATTATGCCCAAATCTTTGTCTCCAATGGGAAATTCTCTCCTGGCCTTCAGATCTATGTATATCCATACTACCACTTGACCCAGCAAGCTCAAAATTCCCCTCAAAGACCTCCAAACACACCCAAACCCCAAAATCGCCTCCAGAATTCTGTGTCTTAATGAAAGAATCTACTGTCTCCCCCATCTATGCCAGCCATAAACATGGGCATAATGTTTGACTCCTCCTTTTCCTTCACCAACCTATTCCCCAACCAATTAACAAAAGTTTTAATTTCTAAATATCTCTCAAACCCATCCCAGTCCTGTCTCTGTCAATTACCTTCTCCTGCCATTATTATTTCTGCCTGGACTATTGTAATAACCTTCTAAATGGTGTCCCCTCCAACAATTTCACCACAATCCAATTTATTCTCCATACTACAAGCACAGAGCATTTTTAAAACTAGAAATTGGATCATCTCACATCTCAGTTTGAACACTTTTAATGGTTCCTTATTGTTCAGACTTCTTTGATATTGCTTGCAAAGTTCTGCCTGGACTATTGTAATAACCTTCTAAATGGTGTCCCCTCCAACAATTTCACCACAATCCAATTTATTCTCCATACTACAAGCACAGAGCATTTTTAAAACTAGAAATTGGATCATCTCACATCTCAGTTTGAAGACTTTTAATGGTTCCTTATTGTTCAAACTTCTTTGATATTGCTTACAAAGTCTTAGACCAGTGGTTCTCAGCCTTCCTAATGCCGTGACCCTTTAATACAGTTCCTCATGTTGTGGTACCCCCAATTTCATTGTTACAAATTGAACATAATTAAAGCATAGTGATTAATCACAAAAACAATATGTAATTATATATGTGTTTTCCGATGGTCTTAGGTGACCCCTGTGAAGGGCTCGTGACCCACAGGTTGAGAACCACTGTCTTAGACGATTTGACCATTTCTTGGTTTTCCAGATCTGACCATCCCTGTTTTTACCTGTCCCTCTTAGCAAGCACCAGGTCACTAGGTCTTGTTGAACATTTTTCCCTCTACATATTGTGTATTCTCTTGCTCCTAGGACTTTATATGTATGAGGGAACCCCCTGACCCCTACATCATAAGATAAGCACCACTATCACAGCACCCATTTCCACTTGTAAAACTGTGTTTAAGTAGCTATTTGTTTCTCTGTATTATCTCTACAATCCTCCCTCAAGACTTTAGGGTCTGGAGAATGGAACCCATGCCTCTCATGTTCAACCTGTATTCCTAATGCCTAACTTTGTGTCTAGAGCATATTAGGCATCAACATATTGGAATATATTTTTCATTTTAGAATAGTTTAGATTTACAGAAAAGTTACAGAGATAATACAGAGTGTTCCTTTATTGGCATCCAGTTTCTTATGTTAATATGAACATTTGTCACAACTAATGGGCCAATATTGATACCTAATTAACTAAAATCCTTGCTTATTCGGATTTGCTTAGTTTTTATCTAACATTCTTTTTCTGTTCCAGAATCCCACATTATAATTAATTGTCATATCTCCTTAGCCACCTCTTGGCTGTGATAGTTTCTGAGACCTTTCCTGTTTTTGATGATCTGGAGTTGTTAAGGAGCACTGGTTAGGTATTTTGTGCAATATCCATCAATAGGAGTTGGTCTGATGTTTTCATCAGGATGAGACAGGGGTAAAGGTTTGGAGGAGGAAGACCATGGAGGTAAAGTGCCATTTTCATCCCAGCATATCAAGAATGTACTCTGTCACCATGACTTACCACTGTGATGTTAACCTTGATCACCTAATTGAGATAATATTTGTCAGGTTTCTCTACTGAAAAATTACTCATTCCCCCCTTCCACACTATACTCAGGAAGTCACTATGTCCAGACTGCATTGAAGGGATTAAGAATTCTACTCCAGCTCCTTGAGGGCAGAGTATCTACATAAATTGTTTGGGAGTCTTTTGTACAGGAGGTTGATATAGTATTCTCCATTTATTTATTTATTCAATCATTTATATCAGTATGGAATCATAGATACTTATTTCATACTTTATGGTATAATCAAATACTATATTAATTACATTACACATATTGTCCCAGTGTTGGCCATCAGGAGTCCTTTCGGTTGGGTCCTGTGTTTATTGGACATCACCTTCACTGTCTGCCCTTTGAGCACATTTTTAAAAAATATATGTATATATCTTATTGATTTTTTACAGAGAGGAAGGGAGAGAGATAGAGAGTTAGAAACATCGATGAGACAGAAACATTGATCAGCTGCCTCCTGCACAAATCCCACTGGGGGTGTGCCCACAACCAAGGTACATGCCCTTGACTGGAATCGAACCTGGGACCCTTCAGTCCGCAGGCTGACGCTCTATCCACTGAGCCAAACCTGTCAGGGCTGAGCACATTCTTACTTTCTGGCACAAGACACGTCAGGCTCACCTTGTGTGTTCCCCGCCCCCCCCTAGACTCAGCCACTCCTCCAAGCAGCCCTGGTTCCTTATCTTTGAGAATATTTTAGAAACTATAATCTGGGTTTTGGGTAGACACTAATGCTTTTTAGTTAAAATTTGGATTCATTTTTAAAAGCCACAAAAGTACAAAGAATAATATATATTCCCACCACATAAAAGGGACACAAGTTGTTTTTGCCCTTTATTTTGCTTGAGATATATTTTAAGAAATAAAATGCTTATCAAGCTGAAGGTCAGTTTTTCCTTCCCCAATCCTAAACCTCTCCCTGCCCCGCCAGAAGCAATCACAATCTTTAATTGACGTATACACTTTTCTTTCCCAAGCATGCATGGAGTATTCACATGGAAAGAAAAAAAATGTGGTAAAGAAAAGACTGGCTTTGGGGTTGAGTTGCCCACATTTCTGAGCTGTTCTAGTTGGTAGTTGTGTCTCTTCCCTCAGCCATTTGTCCATACACTCAGTTCCTTGTGTTGCCATTGCAGCTGGTGTTCCATTTATCACTCCTCCTCGGCAACGTCTCTCCACGATTGTCTCCAGCCTCTCCCTTCTCTAGGCTGTTTCATCCCCACTTTGTAGGCAGCTTCTGCTGTCCTCCTTATAAGAAGGAAGAAGACCAATAACCTGGTATTATAGACTTTATGAAAGCAAATTGTAAGCTGAGAAGTGATAGACAAATATAAAACCTCACTGTTCTAGTCAGAGTGCAAAAAAAAATGGGGGGATATGGAGCATATTATTTACTTGTTTGGAGTAATTGACTCTTTAACAAATATATTTTAAAGACATTACCAGCTGCTTCTAGTTATTTTTTAGTTGTACTTCTGAAAGGTTGAGGCTGCCAGATTTCAGACCATCAGAGATCTGGAAATCATGGTAATGATAATTTTATGGTTCTTCATTTTTAAAAAATAAATACTCTTCTTCCAAATGTAGAAATGCCCAAAATAGAGAAAAAGCTTACGATTGCAAAGATTGCTGGTGAAACTAATAATTTCTCCAGCAAGTGACTTAAAATGAAAGGCTAATTGTTAATGATAAAATGAAAGGCTTTAGCTATAACCTCCATCCATAGAATTGAGTTGCTTCGTGGGCAGTTGGGTTGACAATGTTCCGGGTGCCATATAATATTGTTTGCTTACTCAGGTAAGCAGAACTCTGGGAGTTGGGGTTTCCAGCACCCTTAATAGTAAATATATCTATTTTCTCCCCACAGCTTGCACTTATTTTGACCAAGGCCAACTGGAAAGCAGTTACTTGAGGACAGTTTGGATAACATAGGGATAAGCAGAACAGGCACAATGAAGCACTTCCTGAGGTAAGCATTTCTGGTTTCCCGGATCGGATGAACCCTCTAAAATGAGAAACTTCCTCTCCAATTAGGATAATATTTTTGTTCACTGTTTGTGAAACGGTAACCATGTCTCGCATTGTACTTCAGCTAAGAATAATTTGGTCACAAGATTCCTCTGCCAACTCTATGTGTACACTGATGCTAAAAGAGAACATTTACAAGTGGTAGATTACAAGCAATTACAAGAGAGCATAGGTGCAAACGCGCGGGGCAGGGAGAACTTGGGGCAACCTTGATGCTTGTATCTGTAAAGAGTGGTATGCTGCTGGCCTTCAAGTTGAGGTCTGGGGATTGGTAGTCAAAGAATCAATATAATTTGTGTACAATCATTTTCCTGAAATAAGTAATTTTAAATATCCCTTCATTTAGATTTTGGTTGGCTGGCCAATTCATACAGGTATTTTCAGATATTCCTTTTTGGTAAAAATATATATCCCAAGCTTTTGCTCTTCCTGCCTCAGTAATGTCCCTGAAATCTGCATTAATTGTTGATCCCCTGAAGACTCTGCTGTATAGAGCACTGTGTATGTTGATATGTTTTGGGGTGATCTTGTTTTGTGTTGAAAGCCATTAGGCTTGACTGGTAATTATTTTCAAGAGTATTGACTGTCATTTACAATACATTAATGAAATTCTTGAAGAAATTTTACATCATATTAAGACATGATAAAAGTAATGTCAGTCAAGCTCTGAAAATTAGAAAATAAAACATACTTTCTCTCGAGGTGGTGGCTTACCGCTGTACACATGCTCGTCCCTTGCTCTGGCTTCTTTTCTCTGAAAAATTAGTGGGCTTGCTTCCTTTAGGAACTTTAATTCTTTCAGTGGCTGCCATTTACGATTTTCCTTTCCCCACTGGTGTTCGCACCATTGTTTCTGGAGCACGGAGGTCGATTTGTGTGGGAGTCACTATGTTCTGCTGCAGCTACTGATGTTTACTGGATCTTACAACTGTGAAGACCTCCCTGGAGGTCACTATTAAACTGCTCACAGGCATTAGCATTTATAGGCATACTGCTCACCCTGTTTATCTCGGCCGAGTAAAAGGATAGTATTTGAAAAATCACTAGGAGATTTGCCAGCAAAGTATTTGATCTGATACATGTTTTGGGTTGCCATGGTAATAAACCCATCTGTTTCCACATTTTGAAAAATTGGTACTTATGAATCCCTCCTGAATATCTCTGAGTGGTGTGATCATGTTAACAGAAAGCTGTAGTGTGAGATGAAGCTGAGACATCAGGAGCTACTTTTGTGAAAGTGGAGGCAGAAGTGGTCAGGTTTGTGCCAAGATTGGTGCAGCTGGATTTCTTCTTCACTCTCTTGCTGGTTTAAAAAAAATGAGTAGCCTCAAAACCAGCCATTTTAGGAGAAATAGGAGCATTAGTGTCTGTTAGGTTTTTTTGTTCCATTGAGTAGGTGTAACATTGTGTTTGGTGCAGATGATCACATTTTAAAACTAAGTTGTATGTGATGATTTAGAACTGGTATGGGTAAACTCTACCACTGTAATTTCACACAGACGAGCTCTGAGGATAATGGAACCAGCACATCCCTGTCAGTTGTGTGTTCTGATGCAAATTTTTCTCTTTTAAGTTGGCATATATATATATATTTTATAAATATTACTTGACATTGATTATTTATGTGAAACTGAGTCTTGGATAATAGATTACACACCAAGAAAGATATTTGAGGATTTTCATTGACCTTTGGTTTTGATAATAAAAGCAAATTCAATCATTGCCCGTCCTTAGTTGATTTTTAAAATATATATATTTTTTATTGATTTTTTACAGAGAGGAAGGGAGAGGGATAGAGAGTTAGAAACATCAATGAGAGAGAAACATCAATCAGCTGCCTCCTGCACACTCCCTACTGGGTATGTGCCCGCAACCAAGGTACATGCCCTTGACCGGAATCAAACCTGGGACCCTTGAGTCCGCAGGCTGACGCTCTATCCATTGAGCCAAACCGGTTAGGGCTCCTTAGTTGATTTTTGCTTTTGGCTTTCGTTTTTGTTTTGAATGCTTTTATTAAGTTATAATGAGTATGTATTCATTATATGTTAATGTTTATGGAATTTGGAAGGCTAAGAGGGCAGAGTAATAATCCTGCATTACAACTCTATCAGATCATTTAAACTGCCTTTTATTCCCTGTAGTCTGTGCCCACAGATGTTGGATAATTTGGAAATCTTTTTATTTGAACCAAAGAGAAGGTTATGTACACACTGCCTGAATAAAATAGGTGTTAATTCCTGAGCTCAACAAATATGTAGAATAAGGAGCTGATTTTCATTGAGAAAAATTCGGCATTATTTAAAAGCCCCCAGAGTGATTGATTTGTCAACTTCTGTGTTGCTGTAGAATGAAATGCTCCATGTACAGTCTCAGAAGAAATGAGGTTAACCATAAAGAATCCATGTTGAGGGAAAGAATGGATTTTAATCCACATTTAAGATACATGGGACCCACACTCTGCTCTCTCCAGCTCACTGTTACCATTGACCTATATTAATGGTGTAACTACTCAGAGTGTAAAGGAGTGAGGAAATATTTGAAATATAAGAAATTACATGAGAAGTTAGAAATAAATGCTATAGATTAGTACACTCAACTGAAGGATATGTTTTAAATTGAGAGTAGATATGGGATATGATATAAGTACATCATTGTCACCAATTAATGACTCTTTCCAAGGTCTGCATTAAAAGAAAACCAGTGATTAAATGGAGAAGAAAGTGTGCCTGTGTTTTTTATCAGAGAAAGAGAGGGCACTTTCTGAGCCCTAAATAAAACTGAGGCTTTGGGTGTAGTTTATATATTATATTTCATTAACGTTAATTCAGTTGATGTGTATCATAAAGAAGGCCTAAGACTTGGACTGAAGATCTGTTGCCTTGCTAGGATTTACTTGTTGAGATGATATTTTTTAAGTTATCAGGCATTATTAATTTTGACATTTTCTAATACAGGGAATCTTTTAAGGCACCCCATGTAAATAATTGCTTCCAACGTTCCCGGCCTCCGGATCTCAGTGTCTTGGCCATGGACTTCATTGCATATTTTTCTTCCTGAGACAGGAGAGAGGAGAGGAAAACGTCTGCCAAACTCAAACCTCCACGGGAGACACTTTGAGCAGCACAGCAGAATTGCACCCAAGTTCTGGCTGTGAAACAATTGAGAGGAAAAAAGTATTTAACACTATAATTAGGTAAATAAAGGCTTCCAATGAGCAAAAATAGCCATAAATTGGGTTTTATATATAGGCCATTCACACCTGATTAATATATTGGTCCACTAACTCATTTAGTAAACATCTACTGCTAACAATTGTAGTAACATGCCACATTTTACATTAATAACAATTGAGATTAAACAGAATTAATATCCCATTTTACAGCGCAGAGCATGAAGGCTTGACAAAGTTAAGTTACTCACACAAGGGCACACTGATATTTGGGTATGTGTCCTGACTGGGAATCAAACCAACCACCTTGGGTTGTACTTTAGTAAACATCTACTGCTAACAATTGTAGTAACATGCCACATTTTACATTAATAACAATTGAGATTAAACAGAATTAATATCCCATTTTACAGCGCAGAGCATGAAGGCTTGACAAAGTTAAGTTACTCACACAAGGGCACACTGATATTTGGGTATGTGTCCTGACTGGGAATCAAACCCACCACCTTGGGTTGTATAGGATGTACAGGATGATGCTCCAACCAACTGAGCCACACCAGCCAGGGCACACGGATATTTGAATGCAGGCCTTTGACTTCCAAGCTGTTTCTCATAGTTTCTGCATTGTGTTACTCCTTTGGTGTGTGTCTACTGTGAGCCGTTGTGGGTGATACAAAAGTGAATATGAGGTGGTCTCCACTCCAAAGTAACATACCATCTGGTGAGGAGCTGAGGCACACGTGGGCAAAACTAAGATAAAAAAAGGAATGTGGTCAGTGACATGCTACAGGCATTTTGTGACAGGAATGCTGAGGGATGGCTTCACTGGGGTGAGATTGAGGGGAAAGGAGGATGAGGATGCTCCTATCGTATATAATAAAAGGGTAATATGCAAATTGACCCTAACAGCGAAACAACTGGGAACAACCAGTTGCTATGATGCGCACTGACCACCAGTGGGCAGACGCTTAATGCAGGAACTGCCCCTTGGTGGTCAGTGTGCTCCCCTAGGGGGAGCTCCACTCAGCCACAAGCCAGGCTGACTGCTGCGAACGCAGCGGAGGTGGCGGGAGCCTTTCCCACCTCCTCGGCAGTGCTGAGGATGTCCAACTGTGGCTTAGGCCTGATCCCCTGGGAAGTGGGCCTAAGCTGGCAGGTGGACATCCCCCGAGGGGTCCCAGACTGCAAGAGGGCATAGGCTGGGCTGAGGGACCCCCCCCAATGCATGAATTTTCGTGCACCGGGCCTCTAGTTTTTAAATGAGGATAGAGGGTAGGAGAGGTGGAGAAGATGCTGTGAACAAAGCCCAGAAAGTGTGACCAGCTGCCACAAGCAGCAGGTGGTCCAGATGTGTTGGCTGTCGACCCTGTGTAGGGTGGGCAGAAGACAAGCTGCCAAGGTAAAGTTAGGGACAGTTCTTGGGCACCTTTGCAAGCATGGGGTAAAGCAGTCCAGAACCATGGTAACATTTTCACTCAAACCTAAAGTAGACCTCAAACAGAAGGGAGAGTCAGACGAAAAATCTCCTTCCCTTGCGACACATATCTAGCCTCCTCTTAGAGCAGTGGGCAGCAAACTCAGTACAACTATTGAAATTTCTTTTGAGAGCCAAATTTTTTAACTTAAACTATATAGGTAGGTACATTGTTATTAACTTAATTAGGGTACTCCTAAGGCTTAGGAAGAGCCACACTCAAGGGGCCAAAGAGCCGCATGTGGTTTGAGAGCCGCAGTTTGCCAACCACTGTCTTAGAGCTAGAAAACTAGGCCAT